CATGGGTTTTACTGACGAAAACCTAACCTACCTTACCTTAACATTTTACAATTTAAAATTTTTCAATTCATCCTTATCATGAGAATCTAAGTAGGTGGACGTAAAACCATGACACAAAACCACTTCTGTACATCAAAGGACATAATCAGAGTAAAAGGCAACCTATGGAATAAGAGGAAATATTTCCAATTCATATATCTGATAAAGGGTTATTACCCAGAAAATATAAAGAACTCCTACAACTCAAGAACAAAAAAACAACCTGATTAGAAATGGACAAAGGACTTGAAAAGACATTTCTCCAAAGAAGATAAACTACCAAACACATGAAAAGATGCTCAATATCAATAATCATCAAGGAAACTGAAATTAAAACCACAAGGAGATACCACCTCACATCCATAAAGATGGCAACTATCAAAATAAAACAAAACGGGCTGGCCCGGTGGTGCAGTGGTTAAGTTCCAAGGTTCCGCTTCAGCAGCCTGGGGTTCGTTGGTTCAGATCCAGGGTGCAGACCTACGCACCATTTATCAAGCTATGCTGGGGCAGGCATGCCACATATAAAATAGGCGAAGATGGGCACAGATGTTAGCTCAAGGCCACTCCTCCTCAGCAAAAAGAGGAGGAGTGGCAGCAGATTAGCTCAGGACTAATCTTCCTCAAAAAAACCCCAGAAAGACAAGGATGTTGGCAAGGATGTGGAGAAACTGGAACCCTGTGCATTGCCAGTGGGGATATAAAATGGTGCAACCACATAGAAAACAGTATAGTGGTTCCTCAAAAAATTAAAAATAGAATTACCACATGATCCAGCAATTCCACTTCTGGGTATATACCCAAAATAATTGAAAACAGGGTCTCAAACATATATATGTACACCCATGTTCATGGTAGCATCAGTCACAATAGCGAAAAGTTGAAGGCAATCCAAGTGTCCATCAGCAGATGAATGGATAAACAAAATGTGGTACATTCATACAATCAAATATTATCTGCCCTTAAAAAGGCAGGCAATTCTAACACATGCTACAACATGGATGAACCTTGAAGACATTATGCTAAGTGAAAAAGCCAGTCACAGAAAGACAAATACTATCTTCCATTCCATGTAAATTCCATTTACATGAGGTATCTAGATCGTCAAATTCATAGAGGCAGAAAGTAGAATGGTGGTTGCCAGGGGCTGGAGGGAGTGAGGGAGGGATGGGGAGTTGTTTAACGAGTCTGGAGTTTTAGTTTGGGAGAGGAAAGAAGTTCTGGAGATTGGCTGCACAACAATGTAAATGTATTTCACAGTAATGAACTATACAATTAAAAATGGTTAAGGGGCTGGCCCCGTAGCCGAGTGGTTAAGTTTACGCACTCCGCTTTGGCGACCCAGGGTTTCACCAGTTCGGATCCTGGGCGTGGACATGGCACCGCTCATCAGGCCATGCTGAGGTCGTGTCCCACATAGCATAATCAGAGGGACCTACAACTAGAATATACAACTATGCACTGGAGGGCTTTGGGGAGAAGAAGAAGAAAGGAGATTGGCAACAGTTGTTGGCTCAGGTGTCAACCTTTAAAAAGAAACAACTAAAAAAATGGTTTAGACAGTAAATTTTATGTTGTTCATATTTTGCCACAATTAAAAATGTTTTTAAACCGTATCAAATTTGTTTCAAGGCCACCTTTACATTTTCCTCTTAGTAGAATATCAGGCACAAATAACATTTAAAACAGAATCTTCTCAAGATCCTAGCCCAGGAATACATAGTCCTACAGAGGAAAACAGTTTTCTAAAAAAGACAGGATGTTTCCAATAAAGACAGAAACGGTTTATAAGCCAAAATGTTTTAGAGGAATGAGGACATTTCTATTACATAGTACTACATAATATAGAAATATTTAGAAATTAACAATAAAGTATTTTTACTATTTTCTACCAATTAATAGTTTTTTAAACATTTTATTTCAATTTCAATAAGACTTCAAATCAGGTAAAGGCAAAGAGCTCCAAGACTGGCTAATCATCTGTAGGTGGCAGTAAAAGCACAGCATTTATGTCAAAGCAGCCTTGAAATGTTGATCAGTAAGAGAAAACGAGATAACATACGTGAGCAATCTAAAACTATTTCATGCTTAATTAATTAAGTTCTCCCACATTTAATAAATTGTATTAACTTCTCTGATACAAGAAATGTTTATCTTGCCCAAACACTTTCACCCTAGGGCCTCTACTTGACCAACCCTGACTATCTCTTTTTTGTCTCATTCTTTGCTTGATACGTCTTTGCGATCAAATCAGCCTAGAAACATTAGGCATTCATTTTTTTGAATATGCCACAGTTTTCTTTCTTACCGGACAAAACCACAAAACACTAGTCAAATCAATAAGCCTATTTATTGAGGGCCTACTGTGTGTGAAACACTATGCTAAGCGCACTGAAATATGTGAAGATGTAAGTGCCAGGTCCTTGTTAACGACACAGACCTAAAATGTGAAGAATAACATGAGAGATGAGAGTCCAGTCAAGGGATGAATAACAATACAACCGTAAAAGAGAGCTGTCATAGATACTTCTAACTCCCAGTCCTAAAAACCTATCGCTACTGATCCTAAATAATTACATTACCGTTAGAAGAATAAACCCCACAGTAGAGGCAGGATGACGCAGCCCAAGGGTCTGTGTCCCTCCGTCTAAACACGCACGCCAGCAGGCTGCCCTGCAGGTCCCTGCGGGTGGTACTATCTACTTCCTTCCCTTTTCTGTAAGAGTCTGTTGAGACTGCATGGCTTGCTGCTGGCAAGAAACTGTATGGGCTAAAAGTCATAAACTTCTCATAAAGAATATCCATATGAAAAGTATTAGCAATAAGAAGATAACATCGTTGCAAAAATTCAACTGATTTGTCACTGGTGCTAGATTAACTTTTAAACATAAAAGGGAGAGTTCTGATAAACAGCTCTTCTGAGTAACCCAGATCAGTGCAGTTTTATTACCAAGGAAAGAAAAAGCCTGCACAATTTTTATGTCTTCCTCTGCAGGCTGATATAACATCTGGAAGAGGTTCTCTGCCACCAAGAATGACGGCTCTCCTGGGAGAGGTGTGGGAGACCAAGTCACTAAGACTGGGCAGCCTCTCAGGCTTAGGAACTGGGCAGCCTTGAACCTAGCCCTTTCTCACAGTTGCACTTCCTGCTTGCCATATATAAAAGTGATCGTTAAAGGAAAAAGAGTTAAAAGTAGATAGGCAAATTAGCTGGAATAATCTAACAACCTACTAGAAATGGATAAATGTCTAAAGAACAAATAAAATCAAATACATTAAGAAGAATAAGTTGACTCAAGGATAAATTAAAAATAAGATAAAACTATACACACTAAAGGACCACAATAAAAGACAGGAAAGGAGTACACAGGCCAGAACTAACGAGACCCCTGGGGCTCTGGGTGCTCTGAGTTTAGAGCAGGCCCCAAACAACAACACATTCCGGGCTCCTGGGATGAGGTTTTACTAAATGAATCCTGGACACATTAAGGTTGCCCTGTGAGGGCACAGAGTCCCAAGTCTTACCTTCCGTCTCTTATCTCCAGCCCTACAAAAACTCAGAGGGAGACAAAGATAAAATACTCACTGCGATGGGAAGAGTTTCCTGAACAATGCCGGAGGTGGGGGCCCTCTGAGAAAGCCTCGTCCAACTTCCCCTTTCTTCCAGTTAGGAGAGTGATGATCAGAAAATGAACTAACTTCTTTCTAAAGATAACTCAGCTGATTAATCAGTAGTGTAGGCAGAGCTCCCACAGTGCCATCCATTCCCAGTCTGAAAATTCCCAGGAAAAATTTAAATAGCCACAAAGAAAAAAGGGGACATTTCAGGCAGGAGAGAGACAAAGAGAACTATTATTTGGTGTCTAAAGCATGTACTCTACACAAGCTAAAACGAATGAGATGATTCATAGATGAGAAATGAGGCTCAAGGTGTTTTAAAAAAATTACTCATGGAAACAGCTCATAAGAAACAGAGATACACTCAAACCCAGATTTTGCCAACTCAAAGCCCAAGCTTTGTAAAAAAAAACCTTTTTGAACATCAAATGTAACACACATATAGAAAAGTGCAGCGTGCTGGAAAATCTATTTGCTTCCTTTCCCTTCTCCACCCTGCTCTGTCCCAAGGGCTGAGGGTACAGATTCCATCCAGAAGCTCAAGGGCCCGCTGACTTCTGCTGAATTCTGCTAATGGGAGCCTTAGAGGAAGTCTAGGCAAGGAGGAGCCTAAGGGCAGGGTACTTATTCTCCTGGTTCTTCCTGCACGGTTACCTCAGGCTTAATATCCCTCAACAGAAAGTCACTAATGTTCTCAAGGCAGTTGACTCCACATGGGGTCCCTCCCTCCAGGTTCACGGAACCTCTCTCTCCCTGGATCTCTTTGGGCCTAAGGGTGGTGGGCATCAATGAGGCAATAGCCCAGCTTCCCACCAAAGTTTCCCCTTTTGTCATCAGAATCTTTGAAATAAGCCACTCCTTCAATTATTCTAACTTAAGTGCACCATTTGTTTTCTATTGAGATCCTTACAGATATGAGGACAAAACAAAAATATACAGCTTAATAAATTATCATAGAACAAACATGAGAGTAATTAGCACTTAGGTCAATAAAAAGAACTTGCAAGCATCCTAGAAACTCTCCTGGTGTGCCCTCCTTACTATTACATGCTCCACAACCCACCCATAAGTTTTATCACCTAAGCCTGAATCCCTAAATGTTTTATTTCAGTTTGGTCTCCTTTTTAAAATTCATATAAATGAAATCATACCATATGAATTTTTCCACGTCTGGCTTTTTTCACTTAACACCATATACATAAGACTCACCCATGTTGTTCCACGTGCCTTCTATATGATTCATTTTGATTGTGAAAAGCATCCAACTCTTTGTCAACACCATAACTGATTTATCCATTCCACAACTGTTGAACAGTTGAGTTGTTCCTTATGTGGCGTTATTGGAAATAAAGCTACTATGAACCTTCTTGTCTGTGTCTCCTGGTGCACAAGGACATGCATTTCTACCTAGCAGTGGAATCTGAGTCATAGGGTATATGTATCTTCATTTTAGTACTTAACATCCAACTATTTTCCAAATTTAAACGTCCACCAGCAATGCACAAGAGTTTCTGGTTGCTCTACATCCTCATCAACACTTCATGTTGTCAGTCTTTTTCTCTGCAGGCATTTTGGTGTGTGGGTAACAATATCTTATTGTGGTTTTAATTTTCGTTTCCCTGATTACTTACGAGGTTGAGCACACTTACACGTTTACTGACCATTTGGAGACACTAATTTTTGAGTGCTTAACAGTCTTTGGCCCACTGAATGGCAGAGATCTTCCTAGACATCAAAACTAATTTACAGGCTGACAGAATCCAGCTACAAGATCTTTCCGTTAGTAAGAAACAGGGAAAGGAAAGGATTCCCTCAGGAGATTTTTTTGCTACAGATCAAACTACTATTCTGATGATTCTCTGTTAAGTAGGACCAACTTCAACAAAATGATTAATACAAAGTATAAGACCGGAATACAGAAAAAGCACAACACAGTCTCACAATCTGAGAACTGTGAGGAAATATCCGTGGGTTACACCATCCATACTACTGTGTGTCCTCAACACACTCTGCTGTTGGCGTGCAGAACAAATTCAGTGTGCGTGCAAAGCACTCAGACCCCTGCCTGATGATTACGCACCTCTGATCACCACTGATAATACAGAGAAGAGCAATGGTAGAGATAAGAAAAAAATCCTAAGTAACTCTTTTTAAACCAACACCTTCATACAACCTCACAGACACATAGTTACTGGTTCAGTATGTGTGTGATTGAGGTATGAACCAGTATACCTCAATCACACACACACTAGTATATAGGTTTGGATTTAAGTAACTCAATAACACATCTCTCATTTCTTTACCCGCTCTGACTCTGCACAATCTCTTTTTCTTCTAAACTGCTACTTCCCCATATTATTGGGTATTTTTCCCTATATAGTCATCTCCTATATATACTACCTCCTTTAACTGTGAGACCAGAATCTTTGGAAGGTGTCCATGTACATCACAATAACCAGAGATTCTACTCAACTGGCTATCCTGGGGATTCTGCTTGGATCTCTAGTCAGTTAGTGAAATGTCACACAGCAAGCTCTTGGCCTGGGGCCCTGTAGAATTTCAGTGGGTCCAGGACTGATTTCACTACCATGGAAAAGCCTTCTCCTAAAATCCTCTAAGTGAGAGAATCTTTAATATCTTTAGGGAACTCTACTTTCAATGCTGATTTAGATCTATTTTAACTAGAATGATCTATCACTTTGGTTATGTGGGTTCAACTTGTTTGCTGTGAGGTAAGTAATCCTCTGATTGTCTACATGTCTGTAAAATTTTAAAACTGCACAAAAATCGACAAGAAAAAGGAACTTGGGAATTGCTAAATTTATAATACAATTCCAGAAATCAAGTGGAAGGGAGGTTCATAATAACTTGGCTGTAAGATTATAGTTATAAGTTGTTGGGATTTTTTAAAAAACAGATTTAGACAAATAGTATCTCTATCTTCTTTATCCAGAAACCACTATTCAACATATCACCCCTGCTTTAAAAAAGCAAAAATAGCAGTCAGTTTAGATACAAGTTTGAAAAAGAGAGGGGTAGGGAACAAAGATTCCATAACATCAAAGTGGGAGACTTTTGGGGCCAAATGCTAAGATTCACCCCAGTTCAGGGCACTTCTCATTTCCCGTGCCTCCTCTTCTTTCTGGCTACCAAACGCTCCAAGCCTGTGTGTTGATGGCCACCGCGCTGGGAAACAAGCAGTAACTACAGTGGTCCCCTCGTCACAACACTGGTCTGAGGAATTAGGATAAGCCCCCTTACACTTGCCGTGGTAAAGAGAAATATGTTAAGAATAGGAAATATAATTTTATCTGTGGCATAGACAAATCTCTAATACAGGAGCATGTTTTATAATGTGATTTACTGTGTTATCTATTAACTACATCCTTTCTAATAATTATAAAATTGGCTTAACTAAACTATATTCACTCAAAAAGTGGGCTCAAGTGCTAAAACAAAAATTACTTAGGACTTTTCACATCTAAATGAGAATCCCAAAATGGAGCTAAAATAGATGACTTCATAAAGCAAAGGGAACTCTGTAGCCCCGGGAATATGTGAAATCCCTCTTTCGCGAGGTGAAAAATTTCTCTTTCACTCATATTCCAAAACAAGTTAGAAAATTAAAGCTGCATGAATGGTCCCCAAATGAGATAAGTTCTTCTATTTGAATAAAAAAATCCATTAGGTTTAAGCATTAAAGAAGCAAACTAGGTACCATAAAAGTTTAATTCTTGATCCATTGTTTACTTGCTACCAAATGGTTTGGGGGAATTTTTTTTCACTGTAATTCTTTTCCAACATAAAATTATTGTGAAGGGCCAGGAACACCGGAATGATCTAAAGTGCCGCAGGGGTCATGGAGAGGAGCACAGGAGGGTCACTGCCCCCTGGCCCTTGCCTGAGTCTCCACAGCTGCCTTGTCATTGGCAGGTTCCCCTCACACAAGCTGGTCAAAATGTCCCTGATGCTGACACCAGGCTCAGTGATTCATCCACGACTCCCTCAACTCTCCATTTCTTCACCTACTTTTTCAGTTACACATTCCACCTCTATTTATTAAACGCCTATTATAAGCATACACATACAACACATGCCAAGCCTCAAGGACCTTGATTTAGTAGAGGATAAAAGGCAAGTGGATATGCAATAAGAACACAAACATGTGCCACTCCAGGGATAAGTACCCAGTAATAAGGAACCTTATAGGGCTTACCCAGCTTCACAGGTGAGAGGAAACTTCCTGGAAAAGGCAGGATTTAAACTAAAACTTTAAGGATGAATAGCAGCTGGCCACGCCAAGAGACGGGAGTGCAATGGTAAGGAATGTTACAGGTTGGTGGCACAGCATGTGAAAGGCAAGGAGGAGCAAACGCAGAAGGTCCCATATGGTTAAAAAAGACAGCAAGGTGGGACCTGAGTGAGAGCAGATCCACTCCTGCGCTTTGCCTATGGGGATTACAACTTACCGCCATCACCTCTCTCTGAGAGGTTAGCAAATCAGAGAAAAGAATCTCCTTGCACAGGAGAAAGGACTCAAGTCTTAGTGAGATATATGCCATTGCTGTCTCTGTTGCTTTTAGCAGCACGGGGAACACTAGTCAATACTTAATTTTAGAACATTTGTCACAGGCTATCCGAAATTAAGACAATGAAGAGATTGGATCTGCAGGTAAGAGGTTCCTAGCTCCAGCTGAAATATCTAACTCCTACACTGCATATAAAACATAACTCCATATATAAAAAACTGATGAATGTAATTCAGCAATGAATAAATCATGGCTAGTGAAGGTATCAATGTACTCATCTTATAACGAGGACTTATCGCAGCAACGAGGGCAGAAATGGGAGGGCAGTGAACTCAGTACCTGGAGCAGCTGGGCCTGGTCGTCTCTGAGTTCTTCAGCAAGTCGCTGGCCCCTCAACCCTCATCTACACAAGACATAGTTGCCTTGGTTGTTGCCAACACTTCTAAAACCCATTATTCTGGCAGGTTATCATCATCAAGAGCACTTAATCGCCAAAGGCAAGGACTTAAATAACTTTTGTAAGTCACAGACTTACTACAGTTTGAGAAAAAAAGAGCACGGGCCCTCAAACTGTCTTAAATTCAAAAAACAAACAGTTAAGTTTATGTACCATTTAAAAGTTGTCAAATCACGCATAACCAAGTATAAAGATAATTAAAATTTCAGGACAAGTAAATGAGATGATATTTTCTTTTTAGAAAAGAGAAAGTAAAAAATTTAACATAACCAGGCAGGCAATGATTGGGGTTGCTCACTTCCCGTTCCGTTGCTTTCATTTCCCTCCTTAGGTTAAAATACCCCTAACATGTAAATTATTCCACTAAAGACTTCCAGAGTCTTTCTTAGCAATTTGCAGGGATGTGTATGCAAAGGGAATTATTTCTAGACTTTCACATGAAAGAAAAGGGCTAAGAATCATTGGGGACTTATAAAACAAAGCAAACCAAAGTGGGTAAATGTATATGCAAAGCAGAAGCAAATAACTGAGGACCCCAATTTTAACCATTTAGAAATGTTTTAACAGTAAAAAGTGGATATTCTATGATTTTAGGAACCTTGTAGTAAAGGGTTAACTCTGCTTAAGAGTATCTACTGACTGCCAGGTACTATATTAAGCACTTAGGATTCTTCTGGTCTCATAATTCTATCAGGTGGGTATTGTCTCTATTTTAACTGTATTGAAACTAAGTAGGAACAAAGGCCCAGAGTAGTTAAGCAATTAGATAAAGTTACACAGCTTAGAAAGTGAAGAAGCTACGCTATGGATCCCATTCTGGTCATCATCAAATCTCATTCTCTTCCAAAAGATGATGCAGACTTTAAACATCAAAGTAAACAAATTGAAGACATTTTCTCTTTTTGTATGATTCTCTTAAATATATGCCATCATTTCAAGGGAAGCTTATGCTAAGCATGACTTCATAAACAAATCACTTGTGAAAGAGAAAAACCACATCCAGGGTAAAGTCATAGTTGAAAAAGCCTTATTTCAGAGAGTACTTCCTGAAAGAGACAAAGCAGCAATTACAGCCGAGCGAGTAACAAGTCCTAGTACCAAGTATAACATTTGAAACAACTTTTTAAAGCAACAGAAGAGACTAAAACAAAAGAAATATAGCATTTCTTAAATATACCATTTCTAGAAAGAGCTATTTTAACACAAGCAACTCAAAGATATCTCTTTTATAGAACTGGGTATACCACAAAATGTTCCTCTCAACTACAGTCTTCTGACGGACAGGAGGTAAGTAGCATTTAATTAATTTTCTCACAGATTATCAGACGTAATGCTGTACTTACTAAATTTCAAAAGCATTGTTTTATTATAACACATTACTGAAACTGTTAGTGAACGACCTTAAAATGGGTTATGCTGTCATCTTGCATTAGTAACATGATTTTTCATTTATTTTCAATACTGTTTTACATTAATAGTAAATTAATTTTTTTCAACTTAAAATGTTGATAAGATAGATCATAAGTATATTTAGAAGTCCTTGTCACTTGGTTTCAATTACATTGTTTCACAAAATGTACTTAAAGGCTTTTAAGAAAAGAAAGACTATAGATAATCAGGGAATCTAAAGCTTTTAAAACACTGACTTGAAAGCTGATCACTTTTCAATGTTTTTCCAAAAATTCATCCGTGTATGCAGAGCACAACCTACACTGGTGATGCCCTTAAATCACAGGCATCACGCATATTTTTTTCAACCCTAAGCAAATGAATACAAGGTTGGTGAAAAAAACAGCTTGAGCCCGATGAGGAGAAAAAGACTTACTCAAAAATGGTTTGTAAGTATGGAACGTATGTGACAAAATTCGGGGATGGGGATTGGTGGAGAGATGCAATATTAAAAGAGAAAAAAGGATACAAAATTTCATTTATAATTGCTACTATTTAAAAATTCATTGAAATTAAAAATAAGAATCAAGCCTCCAAAATTACTCTCGTTTGTATGATCCTGAGATTCAATTTTCCTATGTAGTATTTTTCTCATTTGATAGAAATCAATATTCTACTCACATCAATATTTGGAAATTTCAAAATACAAGCTTTTAAATATACAGAATTCTATTGCAAAATTCATATTTAACCTTAATATTTGGCAAACTAGCTGTAGTTAGGAAGGAAAGAAAGAAGAAAGGGAGGGAGGGAAAAAACAAATTCCTATCTTGCGTTTGTCCACAGCAATTGCTCAAATTAACTTTAAATTATCAACAGCCCACGATACCACTGACCAGACTGCTAATCTCCCCCACAGTTTTCACTAAAGAGAGACGCAGGACTGAATTAGTCCACTCTGCAAGGTGACATTTTTGAAGGAAATTTTCTTACTCCTCCATATTTAAAGGGGATGCCACAAGGTTCCATCTCTTTGTAGCAAGTCTATTTTTAAAATCACTGTTGTTGGCGTTGCATCGTAGGTGATGGAAGTTTCACACAAGGAGGGTCAATGATATTTACAATCACAACTAAACTCCTTTCCATTGGAAATAGACATTTGTTTTTTTTTTTTTTTGGTGATGGGAGTAAGTTTCTGCATACACAGAAAGTTACTAAGTGACTTCTTATTAATAACCACTTGTCTTTGATATTCCTTTTTTAAATTGAATTTGACAAATAATATTTAAGCTTCTGTATCAAGAGTGAGGGCATGAAAGTTACTACACTAGCAATATCTTACTCTCAAGGTGTTACTTTCTGTGCACTACTGCAGCAGTGAAATCCACTGCCAGCACACTGGTAAATACCTTCTGGAAGAATCAGCATTAGGCACTACCAACTGTGCATTAAAAACTAGTTCATCTATTGTTTAAAGAGTCAAGTTTTTGATCTGTAGACCATGGCACAAGATACTGCCGTTTCTAGACCTACGATAATTTAGAGAGCATATAATACTATGAAGAAGTGTTTGCACTTAAAAAAAAAACAGGTTTAATAGCCAACTGAGTAAGTCTTCATTGACAAACTAGAGAGGAGCTGCTGTGGGTCAGCTCACCAAAGGTTCCTTTCTTCGCTCATCCATCAGTTTAGCAAATATTTACTTACTGACTACCTAGTATGCACTGAATAGGCACTGGGGATATAGCCGTGAAAAGGAAAAGGTCTTGCTCTCAAATGAGAATTACTGTGAATATCCAGTAATTAACCAATTACATGGTTCCTTTATTAGTTTTCTAATACATATTTTATACATTAAGATTGTATTTAATGAGGAGAAATTCATGATTTGGACATTACTAATCTGGGTTACAAAATATTTAAACAGAATAAAGATGATAAAAAGTGGCAAACTATATTTCGTAAGATTCAAAATTCAGAATGACCTCTCCGCAATTAATCCCAATCAAAGAATGCTTATTTTAGGAATAACTGCTACCCAATTTTATGCTATAGAAAAAAAATAAGGAAAAAGTTATTCTTTAGGGAAGAAGAGAGGTGGCCAGGAACAGAGAAAATGAATAAATCTGCCAGTGCATTATGACACACCAGACCATTTTAATAGATTAGTACATATTAGTAATAATATCTAGGGAATGTATTTCTTGATATATACTAAGACACATATATTGACTCTACAACATAAAATACTCTCGATACTAAAATCCACTGACATATCAAGTGTGAGAATGTTAAACATTTATTTTCAAACAAAGTGTTTTATTCTTCCTATTTGACTTAACTATGTTACAGTTTCTAAGTGTCATGGTCACCAACAAGCTATAAGATGACCACCCCTCACAATCAAGTTCAACTTGGCCCTTCTAACGACTCCCATCCAGACGAATACAAAATCGCAGCCCTCGTCTTCTACAGCTGCATCTTCATAATTGGATTATTTGTTAACGTCACTGCCTTATGGGTTTTCAGTTGTACCACCAAGAAGAGAACCACTGTAACCATCTATATGATGAACGTGGCATTACTGGACTTAATATTTATAATGAGCTTACCCTTTCGGATGTTTTATTATGCAAAAGGTGAATGGCCATTTGGAGAATACTTCTGCCAGATTCTTGGGGCTCTCACGGTGTTTTATCCGAGTATTGCGCTATGGCTTATTGCTTTTATTAGTGCTGACAGATACATGGCCATTGTACAGCCAAAATACGCCAAAGAACTGAAAAACACCTGCAAAGCTGTGCTAGCATGTGTAGGAGTCTGGATAATGACCCTGACAACCACCATCCCCCTCCTCCTGCTCTATGAAGACCCAGATAAAGGCTCCACCCCTGCCACCTGCCTGAAGATTTCTGACATCATCCACTTAAAAGCTATTAACATGTTGAACTTCACTCGACTGATATTTTTTTTCTTGATTCCTCTGTTTATCATGATTGGGTGTTACTTGGTCATTATTCATAGTCTCCTTCATGGTAGGACGTCCAAGTTGAAACCAAAAGTCAAGGAGAAGTCTATACGGATCATCATCACACTCATGGTGCAGGTGCTCGTCTGCTTTATGCCTTTCCACATCTGTTTTGCTTTCCTGATGCTGGGAGGGGACGACAACAGTTACAATCCCTGGGGAGCCTTTACTACCTTCCTCATGAACCTCAGCACCTGTCTGGATGTGATTCTCTACTACATTGTTTCAAAACAATTTCAGGCTCGAGTCATTAGCGTCATGCTATACCGCAATTACCTGAGGAGCGTGCGCAGAAAAAGCTTCCGATCAGGTAGTTTACGGTCACTAAGCAACATAAACAGTGAAATGTTATGAACGATAAGAGGTTTTTTGTCTTCAATCTCTTTAAATTCACTTTACCAACTACCCTGGGGTCAGTGGGTGTTCTGTACGATATTATCAAGTCCCTTCTCTCCTGGAAAAAAATAAAATAAACTTTAAAAACTCTTTTGTGGGATCTTACCATTGTGGCAACATAACTAAATATTCTGAAGTATTCTAATAAATTCATTATTTCTATTTTTAAAACTTGTATAAAACATTTTAATGAGTTATTGGGAGAAAAACATCCATTTTGTGTCTCATATTCAAACCATATCTAAATATATAGTTTACCTAACTTTCTGGATTTAATTCTATGTACAAGTGAGTAACGATGTCAATCAAATTAGTAGGCAAAAAAATCCACCTACTGTGTGAAATAACTTGATTGAATTATTTTCTATCTAGATGCAGCTCCCTTTGGTTTAATTTACACTCAGATGGATGGTCCCAATCCAATATTTTGTGTTCTAAATACCAAATTTCCAGGAATCCTACACAAACAACTATGTTCAACTCATCACTGTTAGTTGCTACAGAGCAAAATTAGCAGAAGCAAGCACCTGAGGGGGCCTGTAAAGGCCATCACCATCAGCCCTCCTCTACTCCCAATTCATTTTCTTTTGGAAACAGGCTATAGTCATTCAACAAACACTCACTGAGAGCCAACTAAGCACCACACTCGACTTAAGACCAATGCGGGATACCTAACCCAAGATCCTATTTCCGCCCAGTAATGTAAGCTTATTCTTATGACATGAGGCTTCTACTACCCAGTGAAATATCTTTCTCCAATGTAAATAGTTGCTCTTCTTATGTGATTAGACATCACAGCACAAAAGAGATGGATTTTTCCCCAGACCATATGTCACAGTATAAATAGCACTACTTAGGTTCCTTGCATTCTTATCCCAGCCTTGCCATTTAATTTCCCCTAATAAAGTAACAAACCAAGTAACTTCTCTACTTAAAAAGAAAAGGAAGTTAACCATAATCTATAAAACCCATATTATTCTAAAGATTATGGAAATACACAAATGAGTAAAGCATAACTTCATCTCTACTAAATCACTTTTATAGCTATTAACATAATCACCTCCTAATGGGACTAAGAATCAAATAAATGCTTTGGTTATAAATGTATTTCTATCATTAATATGGATAAATTCATATTCTTAAAAAAAAAAGATAAACACAAAGAAGCCTAATCATCAAATAGCATTTTAGTATGAGAAGATCCCTTGGACGATTTTCTGGTCTAATCCTTCTGTTTTAAATATAAAAAAACTGCGGTCCAAAGAGGTTATCTGACTTGCTCAGTTAAAGAACCAGGAATAGAAACCAAATTCAGAGGCTGGCCCCATGCTGTAGTGGTGAAGTTCAGCAAGCTCCACGTCAGTGGCCTGGGTTCACGGGTTTAGATGCCAGGTGTGGACCTACACCACTTGTCAGCTGTGGCGGAAACCCACATACAAAAAATAGAGCAGGATGGGCACAGATGTTAGCTCAGGGCCAATCTTCCTCAAGCAAAAAGAGGAAGATTGGCCATGAATGTTAGTTCATGGCCAATCTTCCTCACCAAAAAAGAAAAAAAAAAAGCACAGACAAGCTTATAGAATGTAAACATTCTCAGAGCTACATAAGATAAAGGAGTCAAGGTGTACTGAGATGTAGTTTCTCAAAAATAGAAAACTACTTGAAGTTTTCACTTTGAATACTCAAGCGAGCAAGACACTTTAATCAATATCTTTAAACGAATTTCTACAACAAGGGAAATAATTCCTGTATTTGATATGTAGGCTTATGGTTGGTATATATACATCATAGCCTACTCTCAACTATACGGATTAATCTACTCTTACATAATTTATTAAATGGTAGGTTCTCTGCAACGGCTTTTCTTGTTTAGAAGAATCTAATCTGAGAAGACAAAACACAACAAAAGACTTTGTCAACACAAAGTCAACAAAGTGAAAATGTATGTCATGGTTCTCACAATAAAACTACAGATAATCTAAAACACAGTTAATTAAAAAATATTTTATTTAGTGTTGTAATCAGATATGTTTTAACATCATATGTAAAAACAAAATTCTACTGATTCTGGAGGGGTTTGATTCTGGGAAACAATATAACATCCACATGTAAATACTAACAATTAAAAAATAATAGCTATATAAGGACAGGTGTATGACAGTCACGGTTCACTAGAAGCACCTAGCATACACAGCTTTTAATAACGGAGCTATCTTTACTTTCAAAACCTAATGGTTACATTCTCTGAATTTCAAATAACAATTATGAGAATCTATCAGATGCCAGGTATAACGTCTATGCAAAGCACTAGAAAAAGAGATGAACAAGTCTAAAGTCAAAGATCTTAGCTTACAGTCTTATGGGGCTACACTGTAATCAAGGCTATCCCTTCAACATTACTCAGTGTAAGGCAATGGGCACGTAAAGTAAAACTAGTTCGCCCTCAAAGAGCTAGGAGGGTGGCACAGAAGACCCAGATAATGATAATGATAATGACGATGCAATGTAATAAATGCTAATAAGGATCTTAATAAATTTGTTAGAATACACAAAAAAGGAAAATTATCCTGCCAAAAGGTGACAGGGTGCAGAAAGAACACCTAATAGGCGTGAGAATACAAATACATAGCATGTTGAGAAAGGTGAATGACCAACTGGGGAGTGGCTTCAAACACTGGATTTGGGGTCAGATTATGAGGGCTTTGAAGGGAAAGAAGAAAACCAACATGTGGTGGGGGAAGGGGTGCGGATAATAGTGCTAGGATGTTTATATAAGTGGGCTTATTATTCTCTCCACTGCCCTGTGAAATATAGAGTATGACCCTCAATTTACATATGAGGGTCGTCAATAAACTGAGCTCAGGAAATCAAACTTGAGAGAAGTAACTTGCTCAACATTACACACAAGTATACGTGGCAGAGTTGGCATCTCAAATCTGGTCTACCTGATGGCAAAGCCTATGCCATTCCCTCTATTGCAGATTGTCTTGATGCCCTCTTGGAGGAGTTTAGTTCTTATTCTGAAGAAAATGAGGATTTAAAGGTTTTAAAAGGAAGACGGCATCGTCAAACTTGTATTTTAGGAAGATAACTTCTGATAACATTGCATGGAATGCTGTAAAGCTGATAGACTAGTTACAGAATACTGCAAAAATCTGGCAAGAAAAGATTACAGTTTAGACTGAGATAATAACAGCAGGAATGGAGAAGATGGGATGAACAAATGATTTATACAGGACTTCAAATTAATAAGACTTGGTGCCCTACTCCAATGATGAGAAGAGGGAAAAATTTCCAGCTTGGATGACTGAGTAGATGGCAAATGCCATTAACTAAAATAAGGAGTACAGAAGGAGGAGAAGATGAGAGTATAGAACAGATGAGAGCTTCTGAACATGATAAATTTCCTTTGAGTCTTAAAAGTCACTAGGAAATATGACTCTAGAAAGATCAGGAATGTAATATGGACTGGAAATAAAGTCTTGGGAACCAACAATAGATGTTAACTGTAGTTGAAGTCATGAGAATGGATAAGACAGCTCTGAGGAAGCACTTGGTAAGCTTGAGAAAGGAGCTGCAGATGGTAAATAAGATCAAAAAGGACCAGGAGAAAGTAGTGTACTGGGACGCAAGGGAGCAGGTTATTTCATGAAATAATGGGACGTCAAAAGCATGTAATGTGCTATTGAAAGGTCAAATAAGATGGTAAGCCACTGGCTTTAGAAATCAGTTGGTTATTGGTGACTGTTAGAAGTTTTAATAGTTGTGAGGTAAAAAAAAGAGAGAGAGAATTATATAGGAAGTGAAGAATTGTAGATAGTGCAGATAAATTTGGCATTGATGGGAAAGAAAAAGGCAACAAGATGTTATGTGAAAAACACTGCAAATTTCACAGCACGTTGACTAAAGAGAGTAGTTCCTCTCCTGAGTTTCTGAAGCTTTGCTACCATCAAATAAAAGATATATTTACAAAATGCAAAGTTTATTTACTGAGGTAAAGATTAATGTTCCAAGAAGTCTATGTTTCAGAAAGCTTTAAGATTCTAAAAAGCCATAGTGTAACATTTCATGATTTGAAAAGGAAAGAGAATTCTATTCTCTTTCAGGTGATGGTTGAATTAACATTCATATTGTCTTTCAAAGGGTAGCCTATAACTTTCAGATTTACTCAGATTTACAACTCTTGCTACAAACTAAGATTTAAATACATAAATGCCTTCTTGCCTTAATAAAAAAATATTCTCAACAACTTCAAAACTGAACCAATCCTCCTCATATGGACCAGTTAATAGGATTCTATAAAGAAATAAATGTCATTCATATAAAGAAATAACTGTCATTCAACTCCATATGCAATAGGAAAAAAAAGTCATTAGACAAGGAGACAATATAAATAAGAATTAAAAGCTATGTTACTACCCATCCCCAACATTTATTCTAACTCAAACACACATGACACACAAATACCCTTCCATAACTCAGCAGGCCTATAGAGAACCAAAAAGAATTGGTCTGGATGAGAAATGTTTGGGAAAAATTAATGATTTAGCAATGCTGCTTCTTTTCAGAATCAACATGGACTCATTCCTGATGACTACACTATTTTCCACAATAGCAGAATAGTCAACCGAAACTACTCAGTCTAATTACAATTACAACCCATGGAACTCAACAAAAACTGCATGATTATTATGATACAGAATGTTACCTGTCTCCATTCAAACATTATTACAATCACACATGATTAAAACAGCTAAAGGTTGACACTCATGCCAACCATAATTCAGTAAATCCCATAAAGGGCAGCTGCACCATAAATATTAACAATGTAAATGTGACAGCTATTAGACCACTAATTATATTTTAAAAATAGAGATCCACAGTGAATTTGAATCAAGATACATACTATAGCCTAACAGTTCTCAAAACACACATTTAAAATTAAAATAAGGCTGAAGTTGGTACACACAGAATTTTAAATATCTGGTATCTTTATTTCGTAGTATCTCATTTCTCAAAAAATGTCTCAGATACTTAATTCAGAGATGCTTTAAGGTCATTTATACATGCTAACAACTCTGCTCCTAGATTAGTTATTTCATAAACTAATACATGTTTTTTGTTTTGTTTTGTTTTTAAAGAACATAACACAATACGAAAGCACATACACTCGGGGTTGGGTTGGCCATCGTGCGTTGGCTACAAAGTTGTAACCTACATACTGACCTTGCTTTACCTTTGGTGGAAGTATATCAACACCACCAATTTTCAAAAACATCATTCTTCAGAAGCTTAACTTCAGGCAAATTAAATTTGTTTCCTAATCTGAATAAATTTTGTATTTTAGTGTTTAATTAGTTCACAAATTACACAGACAAAATTTCACTATAAAAACATACAAAATTAATTTTATCTTCAGGACCAGAACAGGAAATTCATTAAAAATTCTCTAAAATATGGGATTGCAAAGCTGAAAGAGTGAGTGTAAAATAGATTCTGTTTCAAGAACATAATAAAAATATAAGTGCACATTATATTTTTTTACACATAAAATCAATTTTACTATATCTAAAAGTTTAAAATATTCTTTTACTGACTTTCATGTACAATAACGCTTTGAATCTGATTTAAGTGGTTACAAATTAAGCTAATCTTTGAGAGCTACTTACAATCCAGAAGGCAAATTCCTGGCTGCAGCGATACCAAAGGAATACCGCACAGCCTCAACGAGGATGAATTCAACCAAGGCTGACAAAACCCAGGAACCCAGCAGAAAGGACTAAAAATAAAACAGGAAGAACATTATAGAGGAGTCTTTTAAAAATAAACTAACGTTTATTTAATTAGAACCAGCTCAGATTATACACACACTTTTTAAAGTTTGTTTTTATTAGAACAGACTTTTCAAAATGAGGCAGTAAAACCATACTGGTCAAATGCATTATCTGCCATAATTTCTAAATATGTTAAAGAAAAAAATAAATCACACTATAAATATCTTAACAAGTAACAAACTATTAAGCAAAATAAGTATTAAAATGTTATTAAAGTCAAAATCCTAATTAAAATTTTTATTACCCACTTACACCTAATATTATTTATTATCATTACCATTATTATTTTATTATGCTAGTGGCTTAAATTTTAAATCTTTCTTTGGTTAATGTCTATGCTCCAAATTAGATAGAGGATCATGTAATTAAAAGATAATTGTTAATAATAACACCAAGCTTAACAAAATAAAACTATTTAAAAATAAAAAACAAAAACATTTTTTCTATAAGCTAAGTAGCTAAGGATAAATACATAAAACTTACTGCAAATTTTCTGCTTCCATATCTTCTTTCAAATATTCTAAAATTATAAATAAGCAGACTACTGCAGAAAGTATCTTTTAAATCAAGGCAAATTATTCTTCCACATATCAACCTCCAAATCTAGATGGGGATTTAAAAAAGAACAATAAATAAGGGTAAGATTTGTTCAGGTCTCTTCCTTAGCAACTTTATTACATTTACTTTATACTGCTTATTTTTTATACTCTAATTTAAGCAAAATAATGCTGCACATACAAAAGGAAAACTACAAATGTTTTTGCTAAGAAATGAGCTAAACTGTCTCATACAAAAAATTTCTTCCTTATAATGGTACGTAAACTTTTTTCTTTTATTATAATAAAACGTATTCTCATTAAGACAACAGCAAACATCCTGTAAAAAATTTTAAGATTGTGTCTAGTAAGACAAAAATAAATTACATACATGAGCTGGAATGAAAGGCTAACAGATGCTAACAGATGTTTATTTTTATGCTACTAAAAACAAAGTTGTAATTAAAAAGCAATAAACCCCAAAATGTACATTTCTGAGTATAATTTTAATGACTAATCTACTTCACAGCAACTATTTACAGGGCAATGCATGGCAACTGTTGCTAAATATTACTAGGTGTGAAATTTTAAAATAATTTAACTTTTAGTTTATTTAAATCAACTTCTGGTTGGGTGAAAAACATATAAGGAAATACAGAAAGAAGAAAGACCTACTCAAAGGCCTAATTTGAGTCTTCTTAAATATTTTCCAGATTTTTAAAGATAATCCCAATGACATACGCAAAACACTCTGATCTTATTTCCCATTCACAATTACCTAATAAGATAAGTAAAACAAATATTAACCCTATCTTTTTTGTATTGTTTTTATTTTAGTAAAATATACTTAAAATAAAATTTATCATTGTAACTATTTTTAAGCGTACAATTCAATGTCATTAAGAACATTCACAATGTCATACACCCATCACCACTATCTATTTCCAGAACTTCTCTGTCATCCCAAACAGAAACTCTGCGCCCATTAAACAATAATTCCCCATTCTCCCCTCCCCTCAGCCCCTAGTAACCATTGTTCTACCTTATGCCTCTAGACATTTGACTATTCTAGGTAACTGATAGAATTAAAATCAGACAATATTTGTTCTTTTGGTGTCTGGCCTATTTATTTCACTTAGCATAATGTCTTCAAGGTTCATGTTGAAGTATGCATTAGAACTTCATTCCTTTTAATGGTTAAATAATATTTCACTGTATGTGTACATCACATTTTAAAAATCCATTTGTCCATTAATGAACATTTAGACTATTTCCACCTTTTGGCTATTGTCAATAATGCTGCTATGAACATTGGTAATATTAACTCTATCTTAAGGAAAAAGAGGCAGAGAGGAAGTATTTTACTTGTGTAAGGTCATACAACCTGTGCTCTGGCCAACAGAACTAATAACAAGAATACAAATGAGAAAACGGACTCTACCAACTGTCAAAATATTTCACATCTGTCTCTACTCCAGGCAAAACACCAGGCAGTCTTTGTCATTAGTGTACTCTAAAATATGAGGGCACTGGACTAGTTCAGGGATGGCCACCAGAGTTTACTTTGCCTGCCAATCTAGCTGAAATGGGGGTGGCTGCCTACATATCTGTGTTAAGGTCATAGCTGGGTTGAAGGAGAGAGAGCACCATGATGAGTAGGCAATGACCATCATGAGCACACATATGGAACACAGGTGACCTCTCCAAACTAAATCTCTTTTCTCCCTCAGAAATTCCATGACTCTGCGTGAGAATCACCTTGAAACTTTAGGCCAGCATCTACCACCATCAATATGATTAAATGGGACAGTGTACATGAGGGCACTTTGCAAACTGTCCAGGACTTTACAAATGTAAGATGATGATGACTGTCATCTTTACAGAAGAGCAGATGCAGAGACCATGAAAGACAGCTCCACATCTTCTACTCCCACATTTAACATTCTAACAAAAGTACTCTACTCAGGGCCAAGTCCTGAGAGGCACTAGGAAAACCTGAGAGATTAAGGAAATTCAGATGCTATGATTACTAAAACATAACAAATTGGGTTTATAGAACTCCATGTCTTTTGCTGTTGTTTTTTTCCCAGTTAACAACAAATAAAACTAGAAGCTATACCTTTAAATAACTTGCATTTTGTAAATACGTTCAAGGACACAGAAACTTGAGACCTGGTCTAAGAACAAAGCACTGGGTATTACTACGAAGACCGATCGCTGGCTTGCACTCAGTGAAGCACTGCTTCTGCACTTCACCCTGAAGAACACTAAAGGCAGGATCTCCACCTTAACTGCCCAAATCTGGGAGATTCTGAACTTGCACAATAAAGCTCTTCATCAGCTGCCCCTCCTGCCCTCATCCAATCCAACGTTGCCTTAGTCTCCAACCACGCCTTGTACACAGTACTTCTAAGGGTCTGAAGGTCACATTGCTTCAGGAAGTAAAATGCCCTTCTCTCGCTACTGCTTATTACAGTCATCCCTTCCTTCAGATCAAATGGGAAACTCACATCGTGGAGGCTCTCCAGGGCCATCCCACCCCATACTACTTCATTTATGAACCCCCAAGGATTTAATATACACTTGTTCTACGGGATTATGTTCTTCTAGCTGTGTGTGTTTAGATTTCCCAAGGCAGAACTGAAACTTCCTATCTCTGTAGCAGCTCTTATAAATGCACACCAAGAGCCTCTGAGGAGGTTCCAGCAGGAGTGTAGCTATTCACATTCCTACACAAAAGAGTGGTTGTCCTCCATCTAGGCAGGTCACCGCCTTGAGACCACAGATGCCAACAGAGTGGCGTGGTAGAAGGGATGTTGCCTACTTAGCCAGATGAACCAAATTAACTCCCCAAACCAGGAAGGTACCAACTCAAGGCCAGAGGGCCCTTACACTCCCTTACAGCAGTGGTTCTCAGAGTTGGCCATGTACCAAAATCCCCTGGGAATCTTTTTAAAAACTACATCAATGCCCAGGCCCTACCACTAGACTCTTCGACTCAATTGGCCTAGGGTGAAGTCTTGGCATCTATATACATATACATTTTTTTTAAGTTTATCCAGATGATTCTAATGTGCAGCGAAGGTTGAAAACCACTCCATTATAGCAACTTAAATAATATAAAAGGCATGTGATATTCTCACAGAAAGCAGTAGTATGGATAAATAACTGAAAGATCTTCATAGAAACCTGGTGACACCAACGTGAGCAACAGTATTAATTACATCATTATGAAGAAAAGGCGTCAGTATTAAAAAGTGGATTATTATGCTTAAAATGGCTAATCAAGTATTTAGCAAAGAAAAGGTGGCTGGATATACACCATAATTTGCACTAACACTCCAACTCAGAGACAGATCCAGCATCACCATTTTCAGTGAGATTAGCCCATAAATCTTGGAGCATTCGAGTTCTGCTCTTCCCAGCAGCTAAAACCCAAGAGAAATTTCCTACTTGGTTTAACCACTGCTATAAAAGTAATTCATAGATTCACAATCTGGTGAAGTTGAAAGAGCTCAGATCGTCTCATCAATATTTAAATTGATGCAAGTTTTTGAAAATGTTAAGTATAAATACTAATCATAAAAAAAGATTTAACATTGTTTTTAATTCTCTTGAAATTATAAATTGCATTTCTATGAGTAAACAATGAAACTGAAGAGACGTGCCTAGTAAAAGGAAATACTGCAATTGCTTCATTACAATCCGCTTTGCTGAAAATATCAATAAATGCAATTAGAAAATTTACTTGCTAATGGAATATTAATAGCAAATAATATTTCTTAGAAATTTAGAGGCTTTGAGGGACTAACAATAGCAGAAAGAAAAGGTAAATCAAGAAAAAAAATCTGCCTTCTCTCCTCCCAGAGGCCAGAGAAGCAGAGCTCACCTGGAAGTCATCCTTGACTGCTTGGAGGTCATACACAAAGAACCTCTGACAGTGCGGCAGGAGGAGGGTCAGCAAAAGGGACAGGGCGCTGGGGACCAGTAAAAGACTCTTGGACAGAGGTGCCTTGTCTGGAGGGAAAAAGAAAATCACTTTCAGAATAGTTGTTCCTAAGATTTAAAAAACCACATGGGTGAAAAGCAAGAGAATTCACTTTTTTTGAACTAGAATGACAACAAAGTTCACAAACTCTGGAATTTAATTCTTATTAACATATAGTTGAAAACATCTGCCTGCAGAGGGAGGTGGTCAAAGGGCACTGGAAACAAGTGGGGTTCACGGGCAGAGGCTTCACTGTCAGCTGGCTCTGACATGAGACCAGACCAAGTTCATAGCCAGTAACTTCCACAGAACACCTTTCAGAAGATGGTCACCAAAGTGTAAAGAAATACACAGAAGAGTATGTTTTCTATCACATTGACCAGTTGGTTTCTGAGCATGCCCAAGATTCACAGACATATACACATTTATTAAAAAAAAATTAAAAAGCAGTTAAAAGCGGTAACGTTGCTGACTGCAGTGGCTACTGAGATTTTCCACTATGAATACTACTGGAGCCTGAGTCAGTTTTCCATTTGAGAGCCTTGTCTAAATCTTATGTAGCCTTGAAATTACAGCTCAATTTCCAGTTCCCTCCATCAGTCTCAGTGAACCATTACAGCCTAAGGGGCTTTTCCCCGACTCTGCACCCTTGTTTCTAGGCACGACTTTGAGTAGTCAGAGCTTTGAACCTGTTTTGCCTTCCAGAAAGGACATCACGTGCCTCCTCTTCTCTTTACTGGCCATAAAGCCTGCACAGCCCCTTGCACATATGAAATGTTCAGATCACCAACAGGCAAGACCACAGGAAAGTATCACAGATGGGGACGTTCTCAGATTGTGTGAAGTACACTTTAATCTTATTCATAAGAAATGTCCTGGGAGTGAATTTATTAGTCACAGTTGGTAATGTGGTTACTGAACTTAAGTATATAAAAATAACCCAACTGTTTCCTCTCTGCTAAGGTCTTACGAATGTCTAAATTGGAACCATCAGGAAAGTGGTTGCTTACAGTCTTCATGACCAAGACACAATCCAGGCTCCAGGAAATCAAAAAGCTAACGGAGGTGCCCATTGCCTAGTACCTCAAAAGTATAGGAGAGCAGTGTGGCTGTGAGCTTGACCAACCTAAATTCTACCTTGAGCAATTCAAGCCTCAGTCTTCCTCACCTGTAAAATGGAGACAAGAGAACCTACCTCAAAAGTGTTATGAGATCCCATTCGCAACAACATGGATGGACCTTGAGGGTATTATGTTAAGCGAAATAAGCCAGACAGAGAAAGACGAACTCTATATGACTCCACTCATAGGTGGAAGGTAACATATAGACAAGGAGAACTGATCGGTGGTTACCAGGGGGAAGGGGGGGGGTGGGGGGAAGGCACAAAGGGTGAAGTGGTGTACCCACAACATGACTAACAATAATGTACAACTGAAATTTCACAAAGTTGTAAACTATCATAATCTTAATAAAAAAAAAAAAAAAAAAGAGAGGCTGGCCCCGTGGCCGAGTGGTTAAGTTCGCGCGCTCTGCTGCAGGCGGCCCAGTGTCTCGTTGGTTCGAATCCTGGGCACGGACATGGCACTGCTCATCAAGCAACGCTGAGGCGGCGTCCCACATGCCACAACTAGAAGGACCCACAACTAAGAATATACAACTATGTACTGGGGGGCTTTGGGAAGAAAAAGGAAAAAATAAAATTAAAAAAAAAAAAGATGGATTGATGAAATAAAAAGAGGCATGGGTATACGATAAAGCAAACAATAAAATGTTCATTGTAGAATGTAGGTGGTAGGTATATGGCTATTCACATTCTTTCAACTTTTAAGCATGTTTGATAATTTTCCTAATAAAACATGGTGAGGGCACATGGTGAATTACAGAATTTCAGAGCTGAGAAAGGACTTCAAAATACATGAAGTAGGGGCCAGCCCAGTGGCACAGCGGTTAAGTTCTCATGTTCCACTTCGGCGGCCTGGGGTTGGCCAGTTCTGATCCCACGTGTGCTTGACAAGCCATGCTGTGGCAGGTGTTCCACATATAAAGTAGAGGAAGATGGGCACGAATATTACCTTAGGGCCAGTCTTCCTCAGCAAAAAAGAGGAGGATTGGCAGCAGATGTTAGCTCAGGGCTAATTGTCCTCAAAAAAAAAAAAAAAAAAATACATGAAGTAAAAACTGATAGAATTGAAAAGAAAAACAGATACATCCACAAATTTAGTTGGAGACTTCAGTACTCCTCTCTCAGTAGTCAATAACACAAGTAGACAGAAAATCAGTGTTATGGACTTAACTGTGTCCTCCCAAAATGCAAATGTTGAAGCTCCAACCCCCAATGTAAAGGCCCAAAGATGGGGCCTTTAAAGATGCAATTAAAGTCAAAGAGGTTATATGGGAGGGACCTATCCAATACGTCCCTATAAGAAAAGGAAGAGACATTACAGACATATACATACAGAGGAAGGACCACGTGAACACACAAGGAGAACACAGCCCTTTACAAGCCAAGGAGAGGCCTCAGGAGAAACTAAACTTGGTAACACTGCTTAAAGGGCACTGCTTTAAATGCTTATATAGGAAAAGACAAGGTCTCAAGTGATGATGTACGCTACAATCTTTAAAAAACTAGAAAAAGAAGAGCAAACTAAATCCTAAACAAGCAGATGGAAAGAAATAACTAAGAGCAGAAATTAATGAAATAGAAAACTAAAATGTAATAAGAGAAAAATCAATAAAACTAAAAACTGGTTCTTTGAGAAAATTTCTAACAGAACTGACCAGAAAAAAAGAGAAGACAATTACCAAGAAAGAAGCAGGGGACATCACTACAGATGCCATAGACATTAAAAGGATAATAAGTATTGCACAACATTGTGAAATGTACTTAAAAACACCACTGGTCTGTATATTTAAAAATGGTTAGAATGGTGAATTTTATGTATGTACTTTTTATCACAATTAAATAAATTTTTAAAAGGATAATAAGGGAATATTAGAAACAACTTTTTGCCCATAAATTCAACAACTTAGATGAAATAGATAAATTCCTTAAAAGGCACAAACTACTAAAACTTACTCAAAAAGAAATGGATAAATTGAATAGTCCTGTAAAAATTGAGAAATTGAATTCATAGTTAAAAGTCTTCCAACAAAGAAAACTCCAGGTCTGATGGTTTCAATGGAGAATTCTACCACACATTTAAAGGAAAAAGACTACCAATTCCACAGAAACTTTTCCACCATACAGAAAAGAACACTTACCAATGCATTTTATGAAGCTGACATTACAGTGATACCAAAATCAGACCAAGACATTAAAAGAAAACAGACCAACACCCCTTGTCATAGATGTAAAATTCTCAACAAAATATTAGCAAATTGAATCCAGCAATACATAAAAAGGATAATACAGGATCCACCAAGTGAAGTTTATACTAGGAAAGCAAAGCAAATCAATGTAAGTCACCATCTCAAGAGCAAAGAAAAGTGTACTGCATAATTCTATTCACATCCTGCCCAATTATCTGCTTATTCTATGAAGCCAATTTTTGTCAGTTCACAAGGTAAAACTGGCCACTTACTGCTGTGTAGTTAATGATAGGTTATGCCTTCAATCTAATCTTTCTACTAATACTACTCAACATTTATTGAGCACTTCCCAAGTGCAAAGTCCTATACACAGCACTTTATGTCTACTGCCTTGCTCCTGACACTCACTCACACCTCAGGGCCTTTACATCTGCTCCTCCTTCTACCCAAAATGCTCTTCTCACATCCAGCTTATTCTCTTCATTCAGTTCTCATTTCAAATAGCATCTCCTCAGAGTGGCTTTCCCTCATGACTTTATTGCTCTGGGCCGCATCCTTATGTTTTATTTCATTGCACTTTCCACTATTTGAAATAATTCTTTATTTACTTTTTTGTCTGTCTCCCTCATCAGAATGCAAACTCTATGAAAGCAGCGTCCTTGTTTGTATTGCTCACTGTTTTACTCTCATACCCAGAACAGCACCTGGCACATGGCAGTGTTCAGTTACTAGTATCTGGTGAATGAATGAGTATATGAGGTAGATACTACCCTCTCCAAATTTATACAGATGAGAAAACTGAGACTCAAAGGGTAAGTTACCCATCCATGATTACAGAATGTCTTAACCTGGGTTCCACTGAAAGTAAAGGGTGAAACAAAGGCTCCCAGGCAGGCAGTTTATTTTGGAATGTGATCCCAGGAAGGAGCGAAGGACACAGGGAGGGACAAGGGGAGGAAGAGTCAATACAAGTTGGCCACCACTATGAGTGACAGATGTTTCTGATGAGTGCTTGATCTTGCAGGGTTTTCTAAGAAGCCTTGTGAATGTATCTCAGAACTATCACCCCGGGAAGAAACAGGAAAACATTTTCATCCATCATCCCTCAGTAGTCTAGAATGGCCATAGAAAAGAAGCCCCACGGGAAGAAGAGAAAAATAAGCTTTACCAAATCAGACCAGCTTATACTAAATGAGACTGTAGAAATAGAAGGCATAAAGTGAGGCTGAGCACACTGAAATGCTGTGCAAGAAGAGGTGTCTGATAAAATGGCTAGAGAGTGGCAGAACCAACTTCTAATGCTGACAATCTGACTACAGACAGTCCCTGACTTACGATGGTTCAACATCTGATTTTTCAACTTCACAATGGTGCAAAAACAACACGTATTCAATAGAAACCATACTTCAAATTTTGAATTTTGACCTTTTCTCAGGCTAGCAATCTGAGGTATGACCTTCTCTTGTGATGCTGGGCAGCAGCAGCTCGCTGCCACTCCCAGTCAGCCCCGTGATGGCGAGGGTAAACAACCGATACTCTGACAACCAAGCTGTACACACACAACCACTCTGTTTTTCACTTTCCGTAGAGTAGTCAATAAACCTCGTGAGATATTCAACACTTTATTGTAAATAGGCTTTGTGTTAGATGATTTTGCCCAACTTTGGGCTAATTTAAGTGTTCTGAGATGTTTACGGGAGGCTAGGATAAGCTAGGATGT